TAAATCTCAATGAAGATGACCATCTGGGCATGAAGTCTGGTCTAGCTGAAATGAACTGGGTGTAAAGCGATAGAGGCACAGGGCAGACATTTAAGGGAATATTTCAGAATACTTAGAATAAGTTAAAGAAAAATCCTAAAGGGGAGGCTCCATCATCCATGGTAAATTAACCAAATTTGGGAGACCATAAGACCTGAAGAGAGAGCATGGATCTGAGCAGAAATGATTGGACAGAATATAAAGAAAGGCAGAATAACTGAAAGGTCAATTGGAATGAAGGAATTAGAGTGAGAGGAAGTGAGCTATAAATGTAAAAACAAATAACAAGAACTTGTACATGTATTTAAAAAGGAAAAGAGTAAGTAAAGTGAGTGTTGATGAGAGGGATTTAGTACTGATAATAAAGGAAATGGTAAATCAGATGAATAAGTTCCCTTCACTATTGAACAGTAGTGGCCAATATTTTCAATGTAAAGGCACACCTCAATGAGACAAAAACTTCCATGGCACAGCCACTTTTCCCAGCTGATTTAAATAAGACCATAAACATCGCATTTACTCTCATTTAATTTGCTGTAGTGGGAATGGAAACACTGAGTGATCAGTCAGGCTGCTCTCACAACTCGCACCCATCTTGTTGACTCATGCGTGACTCAGTCACAGAGAGGAAGCCCAGCTGGAGCTGCTCCCACCATGCATGGCTCTGGAGAGGTGCTGAACTAAACTCCTTTTGCCCCACACCCCGCATCGGTACAGAGGAGATCAGCATGATCTCATTGAACGGCAGAGGAGACTCTGAGCTCAATGGTCTACTTCTGCTGCTACATTTTGTGGTCTTCAGTACAGCACATAATCAAGAATGCTAATGGGATACTGTATTTTCATGCAAGAAGAATTGAACACAATGGGCAATGAAGCTCTGCTCTGATGAAGAGTCACCAAGACTGCATGTTAGCGTGCTGTCTCTCCATGGATGCTCCTGACCTGTTGTGATCTCCAGCATTTTCTGTTTTCAGTACAGATTCCAGCCACTGCTATAATTTGCTCCATCATGGCGATGTCTTTTCATGATGGAGAGGAGAGGAATTTTTTTCCTGAGGAATGTGCAACTTTGGAACTCTCTGCCTCAGGTGGTGGTTTGTTGAAGATGTTTTTACGAGAAGTGGATAGATTCCTTTCAGGCAGGGGATCAAGGAGTACCGGGAGGAGGGAGGGTTGGTAGATATGAATGTGGAATTTGAAACACAAATAGATTGACCATGATTTTACTGAATGGTGGAGCAGGCTCGGGGAGGGGGAGCCTGGGGTGGAGGTGTTATGGAATGATCTAGTTGTGCTCCTATTTTATGTATTCATAACCAGGATTTAACAGCAATTTTGAGGAAGTTGGCAGGACACAATGTGTTTACTCAAATCCAGGCTGTCTGATGACTTTATTCTAATAGTCTATCCCTGAAGCAGGAGGTATGGATGAAAGATTGTAATTCTGCCTAAAGCCTCAGGATTCTCATTTACCCTACACTCCCTGCACAGCTTATTCCATTCCATCATTGTTGAATTTCACACCTCTCGCTGCCCAGTCTAATGCAGCTCTATTGTGTTTGATTGCAGCTTGCTACGAAAGGATCCAGTTACAGTGGGTTACTGGAACGACACACTGTTCACAACGCCAATGTACAGCATGTGGTGGACACTCTGCAGTAAGGAGCAATTTCTTCCCATGTGTTGACTCTGCCCACAGTCTTCCAAATCTCCTGGGATGTGGTACAGTGCTAATTGTTGGAGATTTTAAATAATATCGGATTGTTCAAAAAAGGGGAGAGGGATAATGCTGACATCTGAAGACAGTCTACCTAATGTCAGTGCTGAGAAAACCTGTCGAAAGATTATCAAGATTAGTCAGAATTTGGAAAATCACAGTTTAATAAGTGGAAGTCAGCAAATCAAAAACCATTTAACAAATCCTTGGACTGGCTGAGAGCTCCATGGTGACCCTCACATTAAACCTCATCATCTGCCCAATGAGAAAGTAGTACTGTCCCTACCTCTGAGCCCGGGGGCTTGGTTCAAGTCCCACCTTCTCTGGAAGTGTTTAATAATGTCTCTGAACAGGTTGATTAGAAAAGAAATGTGTTAAGCGGACCCAGTCCCTTTCCAACTCCATTTTGATTCAGTCACTTCCCTTTCTCCCTACTCCGCTCCCCCCATATCCTGCCAACTCCCTCACTTTTAATGGTTTGCATTGCCTTTAATGGGCTTTGCATGTAAATATTGAATTGACTACACAGGTGTTTTTATTGGTTATGGTTAGTGTTTATAAAGGAAAAAGGCACAATGGTTTTGGTGGTGGGAAGGTTGCTCAGTTGTGTGTGATTGTCAGTACAATGCGGAGCTGGAGGAACGCAGCAGGCCAGGCAGCATCAGAGGAAAAGGAAAGCTGATGAAGGGTCCTGACCCGAAACGTCAGCTTTCCTGCTCCTCTGATGCTGCCTGGCCTGCTGTGTTCTTTGAGCTCCACACTGTGTTATCTCTGACTCCAGCATCTGCAGTTCTTGCATTCTGTCTGTGTGTGATTACACTTGAATTGAATTAGCTTTATTGCGACGTACTCAAATGGTTACAGTGAATAGTTTAAAAGTTGCCACTTACAGCGCTATCTTAGGTACAACCTTAGATACAGAATAGAGAAATGAAGACAAAAAAGTTACAGCGGTATACAGTATGACCATAGGTCAGAAAAAACAAGAAACCAAGTTAAAAAGACGAACATCACAGTCTTTCTCCAAGGGCTCTCCACAGAAGACCAATGCGAGGGCCCTCCACATGGCCTGACTGCTGGCTGCTGGCCCTGCCCAGAGGCTGGGAGTGGGAGGCCGGGGCCAGGTGTCCAAGGTTGAGAGTCCAAGCAGACTGAAGAGGAGAAGAAAACCACAGAAGCGAGAAAGAAACATGAAAAAGAATGGGCAGAATGGCGCGCTCTGGCTGGAGCACTCTACTCTGCTGTCATCTTACTGGAAGTTTTGGTTTAAAAAAGGGCAAAAAAAAAAGACCCTATCTGCCTTCAATTCCCATTTGATTTAGCCCCATCCTGTTCTCACCAAACCTCCACTTCACTTTTGATGGTTCACATTGCCCATAATGGGCTTTTGTTGCAAATATTTAATTGATTACACTGGTGGTAGTTAGTGTTTAGAAAGAAAAACGCCAAGGTGATTTTGATGGTGGGAAGTTTGCTCAGTCTTGTGTGATAGCACCTCTGGATATACCTAAAAAACAGATCCAGGAGGGCTGTTCTGGCACAGTGGTACTGTCTCTACCTCTGAGCCAGGAGGCCTGGGTTTCGAGTGTCACCTGCCCCAGAGGGGTGTAATAACATCTCTGAACAGGCTGATTTGAAAATAACACAGACCCAGGGATAAGTCTGCAGAACTGTCTGTGCCAGGCTGGGGCCAGCCTTTGTACTCCAACAATAAACAATGTTCTTTTCCAGTCTAGCTTCCTGAGTTATTACAAAAAAGAAATGGAAAATAGGTCTTGACAGGCTTGCTGCTCAGAGAAAGATAAAAAACTAAGGGGCATAATTTGCAAAAAGTGGTATATCATTTAATACAGAGATGAGGAGACTTATTTTTGAGTATCATGTATTTATGGGAAGTCTTCCTCAGAAGAGTTGAGGAAGTGGGTCATTGATTAGGGGCTGGGGCTATTTAAGAGTTGGCCACATTGCTGTGGGTCTGGAGTCACATGTAGGCCAGTAGTGACTCAGATGAGTTTTTCCTGACAGTTGACAACGATTTCATGGTCATCATTAAACTCTTGTTCCCAGATGATTGTTGAATTCAGATTCCACCATCTGCCGTGAAGGAATTTACCACACACGACACACACACGACACACACACGACACACACACCACACACGATCCTACTGAAGTTGCTCTCTGAGATTGAATGCAAAAAAGGCAAAGTTTTATAGGTTGCCATAGCATGGTACCTAAATTATTGACAGAAGTCATAAATAAGAAGAAAAAGTAAAAGTTCATCAGAGTTCAATTAATGACTCCTGGGTTTGAGGTATGCTGGAGCTACAGAGAGCTACCAGTTCCCTCCAGTGATTTCTTCAGTGTCACTTTCCACCAGGAGGTATACTATGCAATGGGAGAATCCTGCCAGTATCTGCTTTATCAGCTTTGGAAAGATGGCTGGGCATTCTGGATACTAGTCAGTTTGATTTGATACTGGTATAACCTGCCTGGAGTTGTGAAGGCTGGAATGTCCTCTGTGTGTGCCAAGGGAGTGGGAACATGCCAGGATCCCTGGAGTAAATCCACCTTGGTAATATAAGGAGCTTTTACGTGGCCTATCAAAGCAATCTTCCAGCCTGGATATCAGGAAGGAGACAGTGGTCTGGTCAGTGCACGAAGTGGAGCTGTTGGATGTGGCCCCCTGTAAGTGTGGTTGCGGTCTTCGCTTGGGTCACACAGGTGACCTGAGATGTTCTGGAATATTCCAGAAATGAAATATGAGTGCGAGTCCAAGTGGAGCTTGATGAGCAGAGCAAATGTGGAAGAATTGGACTAATTTCCTTACTTCTGTTTTGTTGGATATGAACCTCAGGAACAGCCTCTGGGAAATGGGTAATCATGTACAGATTGGAAAGGGCTTACTAATAAACCTCTTGTGTTGGGCAGCCATCCTACCCAGTCCACTGACACCATGTTGAATGGTTCCTCAAAAGAGGTTGCAGGTCAGGGTTTTGCACAAACTGGAAGGTGTGACAGACTCTGTAAAACCTTATCACGTGGAAGTTCAATGGAGAGTGCAGGAGGGCATGCAATGAACAGCATCATGCGTACCTAAAAATGAAGTTTTGACTGGGTGAAGCCACCACCTGGGGCTACGTGTGTGCCAAACAGCATAAAACTATGAGCATAAGCAGCAAGTGATTCCACAGCCAACAGATCAGATCTGAATTCTGCAGTCCTGCCTCTTCAGCCTTCTCCATTGGTTCCCAGCATCACAGATACCAGTCTTCAGCCAATTCAATGAAATGAAGAAACAGTCGGAGGCAATGGATAGTTAAAAGGCTACGTGCCCTAACAACATTCTGGCAGCACGAGCCATACCTGAAAATGCCATGTCAACCTGGTGAAGTAACCAAACAGGACTACATGCATGCCAGACAGCATAAGCAGCAAGTGACAGACAGAGCTAAGCGATCCCACAACCAGCAGATCAGATGTAATCTCTGCAGGCCTGCCACATCCAGCCATGAATGATGCTGGACAATTTAACAACTCGTTGCAGGAGGAGGAGGAAGCTCCACATATAAATGATGGAAGAGCCCAGCACATCAGTTAAGGTTGAAGCTCTCACAACAATCTTCAGCTAGAAGTGCCGAGTGGATAATCTATCTCGGCTTCCTCCAGCATTACAGATACCAGTCTTCAGCCAATTCAATTCACTCTATATGATATCAAGAAACGGTTGGAGACACTGGATACTGCAACATTCCAGCAATATTACTGAAGGTTTGTGCTCCAGAACTTTCTGCTCTCCTAGCCAAGCTGTTCCAGTACAGTTACAACACTGGTATCTACCCGACAATGTGGAAAATTGCCCAGGTATGTCTGTACACAAAAAGGACAAATCCAACCCGACCAATTACCACCCCATCAGTCTGCTCTCGATCATCAGTCAAGTGATGGAAGGTGTCAAGAACAAAGCTATCAAGCCCAGCTGGAATCGATGGGTATCAAGGACAAACTGTCTGCTGGTTGGAGTCATACCTGACACATAGGAAGATGGTTGTGGTTGCTAGAGATCAGTCATCTCCGCTCCAGGACATCTCTGCAGGAGTTCCTCAGGGTAGTGTCCTCGGCCCAACCATCTTCAGCTGCTTCATTAATGACCTTTCTTCGTCAGAAGTGGGGATTTAAAGTTTTCTAGAAGATTTGTAGCTTGGATCGTGGATGAGGCTGTAGACTTGCTCACCGAGCCGGTGGGTTTGGTTGCAGACATTTTGTCACCCTGTTCAGTAACATCGTCAGTGCGCCTCCGATGAAGCATCGGTGTTCTGTCCCACTTGTTATTTATATACCTTGGTTTGCTGGGGTGGTTGGTATCATTTCAGGTTCTGTTTTTCAGTGGTTTGTAAATTGGGTGCAGTTCATTGTGTTTGTTGATGGAGTTCTGGTTGGAATAGCAGGCCTCCAGGAATTCTGGTGGGGATGTTCGCGGATGATTACACTATGATCAGTACCATTTATATCTCCTCAGACACTGATGAGGTCCATGTTCAAATGCTATATCCAGGCTCGGGCTGACAAGTGGCAAGTAACATTTGTGCCACACAAATGCCTGGTTATGACCATTTCCATTTAAGAGACAATGTAACTACTGCCCCATGACATTCAATGGTGTTCCCATCACTGAATCCCCCACTATCAACATTCTGCTGATTATCATTGACCAGAAACTTAACTGGACTCACTATATAAAATAGTGGCTACAAGAGCAGGTCAGAAGTTAGGAATACTGTGGCGAGTAACTCACCTCCTGACTCCCCAAAGCCTGTCCACCATCTACAAGGTACAAGTCAGGAGTGTGATGGAATACTCCCCACTTGCCTGGATGGGTGCAGCCCCAACAACACTCAAGAAGCTTGACACCATCCAGGACAAAGCAGCCGCTTGATTGGCACCACATCCACAAACATGCACTTCCTCCACCACCGACACTCAGTAGCAGCAGTGTGTACTATCTACAAGATGCACTGCAGAAATTCACCAAAGATCCTCAGACAGCACCTTCCAAACCCACGACCACTTCCAACTCGAGGGACAAGGGCAGCAGATACATGGGAATACCACCTTCTGCAAGTTCCCCTCCAAGCCACTCACCATCCTGACTTGGAAATATATCGCTGTTCCTTCACTGTTGCTGGGTCACAATCCTGGAATTCCCTCCCTAAGGGCACTAGGGGCTTACCCACAAAATATGGACTGCAGCAGTTGAAGAAGGCAGCTCACCACCTTCTCGACCACAACTAGGGATGGGCAATAAATTCTGGCCAACCAGCGACGTCCACATCCCACAAATGAATGAAAAAAACATTTGAGTGGGCAAGTAACATTCTCATCACGCAAATGCAAGGCAATGATCGTCTCCAACATGAGAAAGCTAGGACTCCATGATGCCACACTTGGTTGAATGCAGCCTTGATGTCGAGCTGTCACTCTCACCTCACCTCTAGAATTCAGCTCTTTTGTCCGTGTTTGAACCAAGGCCGTAATGAGATCAGGAGCTGAGTGGCCCTGGCGGGACCCAAACTGGGAGTCACTGAGCAGATTATTGCTGAGCAGGTTCTGCTTGATAGTACTGTTACTGACACCTTCCATCGCTTTACTGATGATCGAAAGGAGACTGATGGGGCGGTAATTGGCCAGGTTAGGCTTGTCCTGCTTTTTCAGTACAGGATGTACATGGGCAGTTTTCCAACTTAGGAGCATAGGAACAGCAATAGGCCATTCAGCCCTCGAGTCTGTTCCACCATTCAATGAGATCATGGCTAATCTGTGGCTTAACTCCATGTACCTGCCTTTGGCCCATATCCTTTAATACTTTTGCTTCAGAAAAGTGTAAAAAAAATTTGACAAAGAAACTTGTAGAGACAACCTCGGTCAGTGGGACTGATGGCATTGCTGTGCAGTGAGCCAGTGTGGACTGAATGCCGTCTGTCATCAATTTTATGGGTTCATACTGTCTAACAGAATTGTTTATGAAAATTGGTATGATTACAGTATGGCTACAGGAAATGATGAGGGACTAACTCTTAGTATTGTGTTGCTCTCCCCTTTTTAGTAAGGAAGGAATTGAGGTTCGCCTGGTGAAGCGGAGGGATTACACTGAGGAGACCGTGCAATGGGCGGATGCCATCATATCTGCTGGAGGTAATAACAGCGACATTCCAACTTCCAGTGTGTGATCGGGGCTGGCTCTGAGGGAGATGTGTAACGGAGAGTTCTGTCACTGCAGTCGTGCAAACTCTCTTCTTTCCTTGCCTCCTTTTATTTGAGGAGCTTCTTAATAGGAAGACATGAGGAAGTTGATTGACTCTACCTGGAACGGGCAGATTGCTTTTGGGGAAATATTGGATGGGCTAAGCTTGTATCTGCTGGAGTGTAGAACAGTGAGAACAAAAGAAATAGGAGCAGATAGGCCATGCTTTCCCTGCCATTCTATAAGACCATGACTGATCTATCCCAGGCCTCAACTCCTCCTTTGTACCAGTTCCCTATTGCTCTCAGCTCCTCCTAAGAGGCAATAGAGGTGGTATGATGGAAATGCATAAGAACCTGGGGGGTGGTGACCAGGTAGGATGAGTTGAGGATGTTTCCTCTTAAGAGGAAATCAACAGTGAGGGGATACTGATTAAAAAAAAATTAGGGGTTACCCATCTGACATACAAATGAGGCAAAACATTTTCTTACAGAAGTTGGTAAATTTTGGAATTGTTTTCCTGAAAAGGTGATGGAAGCCGAGTTGTTGAATATATTTAAGGCGGTGGTGGACCAGTTTGCGTTCCACAAGAGGGTTAAGTTATCAGGTGTAAATGAGACTGTGGATTGAGGTTACAATCAGACCAGCCATGATCTTATGAATAGCAGAGCAGACGCAAGGGACAAATTGGCCTAGTCTTTATTTATATGTTTACATTAAAGCTCTCTCTACTCTTTTAAGCTGAAAGCAAAGCTCTCTCTACATTGTACGCATTAAACACTCCCAGGACAGGGGCAGCATGGGGTCAGGTACAGGGTAAGACTCTCTCTACACAGTTGACTTTGGATTTCCAGGACAGGTGTAGCATAGGGTCAGGTACAGAGTAAACTGCCTCGACTCTTTTAAACTGAAAAGAAAACTCTTTCTATTGTTATGGAGGGGAAATAGCCAACCCCTCTGATAATTAATCTAAAACACAAGTCCCAAGCTGTTATAAGAGACAACAAGGTGCAGGGCTGGATGAACACAGCAGGCCAAGCAGCATCATAGGAGCAGAAAGGCTGACGTTTCGGGCCTAGACCCTTCATCAGAAAAGACCCTTTTATAAACTTCCAAGCACAGACGAAGCATGAGCTCTTAAAGGGACCACAGCACTCTTTTCCCCATGATCATTTTTACCAAAAAATTCTAACTTCCTGCCTGACTTCATGAATACTCTACCCAACTTCGTAACACAACAATCTCCATCAAACACTACTAGGACAGGGACAGTAGGGGATTAGGTACAAAGTGCTGTTGCAGTGGACTTAAGTTAAGGAGACAATAAGGATTGTAGATGCTGGAAGCCAGAGTCTGTAGGTGTGAGGCTGGAAAAGCACAGCAGGTCAGACAGCATCCGAGGAGCAGGTAAGTTAGGGTTTGGCCTGAAATGTTGACTTTACCTGTTCCTTGGATACTGTCTGACCTGCTGTGCTTTTCCAGCTTCACAACTATAGACTCTAGTTTTTCATAGAATCCCTACAGTGTGGAAACAGGCCATTCAGCCCAACAAGTCCACACTGCCCCTCTGAGGAGCATCCTAACCTGACTCGTTCCCCTTACCCCTACATTTCCCATGTCTAACCCACCTAAACTAAACATCCCTGAACACTATGGGCAATTTAGCATGGACCAATCCACCTACTCTGCACATCTTTGGACTGTGGGAGGAAATGGGAGCACCCAGAGGAAACCCACGCAGACATGGGGAGAACATGCAAACTGCACACAGACAGTCACCCGAGGCTGGATTTGAACCTGGGTCCCTGGTGCTGCGAGGCAGCAGTGCTAACCGCTGAACCGTCCAAATGTTAAGGTCCTGGAGCAGTGACAGTTATTAACTCGGGCAAACCTAGGACTGAGGGAGATGGATGGTCTGCCCAAACGAGAGAAATGTGAACCAGCTCCAAGTGAGTGAGGGAGTGAAGGGAGAAGTTGGAGCAGGAGAAGGTTCTCTCCCCTCCCCCCCATGAAGGCTAAAGGGCCTGTGTGTGATTGAGCTGACTGATCTGTCTGATTCTGTGCAGGGGATGGCACCATGCTGCTGTCGGCCAGCAAAGTGTTTGGGCAGATCAAACCTGTCATTGGAGTCAACACGGATCCAGAAAGGTAAAGGGCTGTCACTAATGGAAAATAATGTGGAGTGCAGGCTGAAACGCTGTGCCTCTGAGGGAGTACAGGCTGAAACGCTGTGCCTCTGAGGGAGTGCAGGCTGAAACGCTGTGCTGTCGGAGGGAGAGGTGAAGGCCAAGTATGAGGGAGGTGGTCATTGGATGGAGACTGCAAGGTTTAATGGGGGTTGGGGGGACTGCAGGGCATGGTGAGAAGGTGTGGTCTGCTAGGTTGGAGGGGGAAGGAATGTTGTTACTGGGTGGATGGGGGCAGTCTGCCAGGGCAGGGCGTCAGGTATCAATCATGTCTGCATCTTGTAGGAACGAGCAGTGGGAGTAGGCAATTCAGCCTTTTGAGTCCACTCCACCATTTAACATGATCGTGGCTCATCTAATCCTCATCTCAACCCCACTTTTCTGCCTGCTCCCCATAGCCCTTTATCCTGCTTTTCACCAGAACTATAGCCATTTCTTTCTTGAACTTGTTGATTGATTCTGTCTCCACAACACTCTGGGGCAGTGAGTTCCACAGATTCACAACCCTCTGAAGGAAGTAATTTCTCCTCATCTCAGTTTTGAACATACCTCCTCTCACACTATATCTATGCCCTCTTGGTCGAGACTGTCCCACAAGGGGGAACATCTGTTCAACGTCCACCTTATCAATCCTTTTTAGCATTTTACATCCCTCAATCAGATGCTCTTTCATTCTTCTGCACCCCAGCCCAAGCTATTCAACTGCTCCTCATCGACAGCCGTTTCATCAACTGGAATCAGTTTGGTGAACCTTATCTGAAACATCTCACATTTATCCAAATTAAAGCCCATCTACCACTCCTCACTGTTTACTGCAGCTCAGACTTCAACTTGAGAAACCCAAATTCAGGTCAATAACATTAAAAGGAGCTACAGTTGTGTCCAATTTTGAGTGTCAGGCATCCAGAGGGTCAATAAGGCCTTAGGCAAAATACTAAATAGGCATACTAAAATACCTGATGCTAAAATGGGTGGGAAAGCAGACAGCGATGAGGAGATAAAGAGTTTACAGATGGATATTGATAGGCTCAGAAAATGGGCTAGAATCTGGCTGATGGAGTTTAATGTGGATAAGTGCAAGGTTGTCCATTTTGGCTGGAAAAACAAAAGGACATATTATTATTTAAATGGGAAGCAGATTCAAAGTGCATCAGTGCAGAGGGATCTGGGTGTCTTTGTGCATGAATCACAGAAAGTAGGTTTGCAGGTGCCGCCTATAATAAGAAAGGCAAATGGAATCCTGTCATTTATTGCAAAAGGACTGGATTATAAAAGAAAGGAAGCGTTGATACAATTATATATGGTGTTGGTGAGAATACACCTGGAGTATTGTGTCCAGTTTTGGTCTCCTTACTTGAGGAAGGATATAGCGGTACTGGATGCAGTTCAGAGGATGTTGAAACTTTGGTGTGGGTGTAAAAGAAAATGAAATGGTGTTAGAGGGTGAGATTGGGAAAGCTATGTTTTCCTTTTCCTGAGAAGGCCAAAAGGAGATTAATGTATAATTTTAGCACAGTAAATAGGAATACTTTTTAACAGCCGCAGCTAAGTTGATAAGCAGAGGACACTGAGGACAATGCTGGCAGCCAGCAACACCCACAAATGAATTTAAAAAATCTGAGGTACTGCAATTGACAAAAGAATCAGGTGGCATTGAGCCAGTGCCAGGCAGGAGGAGGTCATTTGGCTCATCGAATCAGTGGCAGGTTTCTGAAGCAATCCAGTCGGCCCCATTCCCTTACTGTGCCCTTGGAAAATGGAGCAAGAATAGGCCATTTGGTCCTTTGAGCCTGCTTCACCATTCAGTATAATCACAGTTGATTATCCAAGTCAGTACCCGGTTCCCACTTTCTCTCCAAACCTATTCATCATTGAGTCCTCCAGCATAGATAAAGATCCTTCGGTCCAACCAGTCAGTAATCCCAAACTAAACTAGTCCCACCTGCCTGCACTTGGTCTATATCCCTCCAAATATTTCTTATTCATGTACTTATCCAAATGTCTTTTAAACATTGTAACTGTACTCGCATCCATCACTTCCTCTGTAAGTTCATACCACACACGAAACACACTCTGTGTAAAAAAGAAAATTGCTCCTGTGTCCTTTTTTAAGTCTTTCTCCTCTCACCTTAAAAATATGCCCCCCTAGTCTTGAACCCCCGTCACATAGAGAGAGGGTTTCAAGATTGAAATCTGCCATTCACCTTATTGTTACTCATGATTTAAAAACCTCCTACGCTCCAGTGAAAAAAGGTCCCAGCCTATCCAGCCTCTCCCCATAACTCAAACCCTGCATTCCTGGTAAATCTCTTCTGGACCCACTCTAGTTTAATAATTTCCTCCCTATAAAAGGGCAACCAGAACTGAACACAGTACTCCAGAAAAGGCCTCACGAACATCCTGGGCAACATGATATACTCAAAGGTGCTGGCACAGTGGCTCAGTGGTTAGCACTGCTGCTTCACAGCGCCAGGGACCTGGGTTCAATTCCACCTTTGGGCAACTGTCTGTGTGGAATTTGTACATTCTCCCCGTGTCTGCGTGGGTTTCCTGCAGGTGCTTCGGTCTCCTCCCACAACTCAAAGATGTGCAGGCTAGTTAGTTCGGCCATGCTAAATTACTCCGTAGTGTCCAGGGATGTGTGGGTTAGGTGCGTTAGCCATGGGAAATGCAGCATTAGGGTAGGAGGATGGGTCTGGGTGGGATGCTGTTTGGAGAGTCAGTGTGGACTTTTTGGGCCGAATGGCCTGTTTCCACACTGTAGGGCTTCTATGATTTAGGTCCGAGCAATGAAGGCAAGCGTGCTAAATGCCTTCTTAATTACCCTGCCTATATGCAACACAACTTCAAAGAACTATGTATCTGAACCCCTAAGTCTCTCTGTTCGACAACACTACCCAAGGCCCTACCATTAATTGTATAAGTCCTGTCCTTGTTTGAATTACCAAAAAGCAATACCTCGCATTTAAAAATCATCAAACTCCATCTGCCACTCCTTAGTCCATTGACCCAATTGATCAAGATCTCTTTGTAATCTTAGATAACCTTCTTCACAGTCCACTATACCACCAATTTTGGTGTCATCTGCAAACTTATTAACCATACCTTCTACGTTCTCATCCAAATTGTTTATATAAATGACCAACAAAAGTGGACCAGCGCTAGCAGACCTTTAGTCCAAAAAGGAATGTCTTTAGCCTGAAGAGCTATATCTAACTCCTTGAAAACAGTCACTGTTTTAGCCTCGAGAGAATCCTTTCTAGGATTCTATAAAATGGTTTTATCAACAAATGAATTTGCTCATGTGAAAATGAGGTATTAGCAATGAGTTAGTGTCAGAGGCTCCTGCTGATCTGTCACTGTTAGGGATTACACTGAACATGAGGAATGTTAGGCCTCTGGAGGGCTGTGTGGCTAGTGGGGCGCATACAGGATGTATTCAGAAAATTTTGAGTGTAAACTGAGAGGACTAAGTTTTTTTTTTGTACAGATCTCAGTTGGGGACTGTGAATTGTGAGTCCACACTGTGGGAGTAATTTGAGGCTTTGGAGAGGGTACAACAAATACCCTAGGAACAGATATGTGAAAACAAAATCCACTGATTTGTTTTTGAGAGGGATTAAAGCAGATTAAGGGACACTGTAATGGAAACGTTGCAATTTTAAATCCTCTTTACATCCATTTTTGTTCTATGCACACTATCAGTCTCTGAATATTGTAATAGTTACACCAGGCAGCTCCAAGGCAGTTGCCACATTTTATTGTTCTTAAATACTAGTTGCATTCAGTACTGCCTGACAATAAGGCCACTCAGAACATTTCAAGGTTTACTGAACAGTCGTGTAGTTAGTTGAACAGAGAAAGTTGCTACCTTTGGGTTCCTAGTCAGTCATAATTGTGAGCAAGGCCTCCATCCCAAAATGGTGTGCTGCAGCAGGTTCTGTTGGGACTTGGGAGAAGTACCTATGTGTTGGAGGTTGGGATCAAGAAAAGCCATAGGACCTGGCCAAATCAAAAAGTGGGGGTGAAGGAATCCCACAAGCAGTATTTGTATAGCTGAGCAATGAGAGAGTTTGCAGCGGCAGTCTCAGGTTTGTGAAGCTAGCTGTCTGTGAAAAGGTGAAATTGTGCCACTGAGTAAATGCTGGAGTTCAGTTTCCCAAATTTAGAAGAACACAGTCCAGTTTGGGAGAGTGAGCTACCAGAATGTGAGCAGCCATTGAGGCAATCATAATGGGGAGGTTTGTGAAGGAATTCCGATGCAAGGATTTCAACGTTGAAAGATGATAAAGTGGCCTATAGTCACTAATGAATTGGGAATTGCTGTGGAATCTGGGATTTGATGTGTTATGCAGGGTGCTTGACAGCAGTGTGCCTGTGACCTATATTTACGTGTGTGTGTGTGTTGGAAAGGATTATAAGAGATAGGATTTAGAATAATCTAGAAAGGAATAATTTGATTAGGGATAGTCAACACGGTTTTGTGAAGGGTAGGACGTGCCTCACAAACCTTATTGAGTTCTTTGAGAAGGTGACCAAACAGGTGGATGAGGGTAAAGCGGTTGATGTGGTGTATATGGATTTCAGTAAAGCGTTTGATAAGGTTCCCCATGGTAGGCTATTGCAGAAAATACGGAGGCATGGGATTGAGGGTGATTTAGCGGTTTGGATCAGAAATTGGCTAGCTGTAAGAAGACAGAGGGTGGTGGTTGATGGGAAATGTTCATCCTGGAGTTCAGTTACTAGTGGTGTACCTCAAGGATCTGTTTTGGGGCCACTGCTGTTTGTCATTTTTATAAATGACCTGGATGAGGGCGTAGAAGGATGGGTTAGTAAATTTGCGGATGACACCAAAGTCGGTGGAGTTGTGGATTGTGCGGAAGGATGTTGCAGGTTACAGAGGGACATAGATAAGCTGCAGAGCTGGGCTGAGAGGTGGCAAATGGAGTTTAATGCGGAAAAGTGTGATGTGATTCACTTTGGAAGGAGTAACAGGAATACAGAATACTGGGCTAATGGTAAGATTCTTGGTAGTGTGGATGAGCAGAAAGATCTCGGTGTCCATGTGCATAGATCACTGAAAGTTGCCACTCAGGTTGATAGCGTTGTTAAGAAGGCGTACAGTATGTTAGGTTTTATTGGTAGAAGGACTGAGTTTCGGAGCCATGAGGTCATGTTGCAGCTGTACAAAACTCTGGTGCAGCCGCACTTGGAGTATTGCGTACAGTTCTGGTCACTGCATTATAGGAAGGATGTGGAAGCATTGGAAAGGGTGCAGAGGAGATTTACCAGGATGTTGCCTGGTATGGAGGGAAGGTCTTATGAGGAAAGGCTGAGGGTCTTGAGGCTGTTTTCGTTAGAGAGAAGAAGGTTAAGAGGTGACTTGATGGATATATACAAGATGATCAGAGGATTAGATAGGGTGGACAGTGGGAGCCTTTTTCCTCGGATGGTGATGGCTAGCACAAGGGGACATAGCTTTAAATTGAGGGGTGATAGATATAGGACAGATGTCAGAGGTAGGTTCTTTACTCAGAGAGTACAAAGGGCGTGGAATGCCCTGCCTGCAAAAATAGTAGACCCGCCAACTTTAAGGGCATTTAAATGGTCATTGGATAAACATATGGATGATAATGGAATAGTTTAGGTTAGATGGGCTTCAGATTGGTTTCACAGGTCGGCGCAACATCGAGGGCCGAAGGGCCTGTACTGCGCTGTTATGTTCTATGTGTTTAACCTGATGGGACAGGGTGTTTTCAGTGGTTGAGGAACGAGGGCCCATAGGTAACAACAGATTAACTTGAAGAGATTTTGAACAGAGGAGGAGAAACCTCTGCAGAGAGTTGTGACGCTGTGGAATTCACTTCCCATTGTCACAATTTAAGCAGAAACTGTGTCAAGATTCAGTGGGAGAGGGGATTGGAGGGAATTGGGAAAAGGGTGGATGAATTGGAGCTGTTTGCTGATATAAAGGGTAAACAGCAACATAGGCTGGAGAAGTTGAATGGCTGGGTGTGGTATTACTGTGGTGAGGGGTCTAACTGTCCCCTCCATGCTGTTGCCAGGGTGCTCTATGCTCAGCTGTTTTTACTGTCTCTGTTTGTAGGTCTCAGGGGCACTTGTGCCTCCCAGTCAGGTACACACACTGTTTCTCAGAGGCTCTGCAGAAGCTCCACCAGGGAAAGTTCAGGTGAGTGTGACCATATTTGTTTTTTAAATTCATTCATGGGATGAGGGTGTTGCTGGCTAGGCAGCATTTATTGTCCATCCCTAATTGCTCAGAGTCAACCACATTTCTGTGGGTCTGGAGTCAGGATGGTAATTGGAATGGGAGTTGGTTTGCAATTTGAAGGTGTTGAACTCAGTATTAAGTCCAGAAGGTTGCAAAGTGCCTAGTCTGAAGATGAGATGTTGTTCCTCCAGTTTTGCGTTGTGATTCGCTGGAACACTGCAGCATGCCGAGGATAGACAAGTGGGCATGTGAGTGGGGCATTGTGTTAAAATGACCAGCTACAGGAAGTTCAAGGTCATGCTTGTGCATGGACCGGAGGTGTTCCGCAAAGCGGTCACCCAGTCTATGTTTGATTTCTGCAGTGTAGAGTGGGCCACATTGGGTGCAGCGAATACAATAAACAAGAATGGAGCAGGTACAGGTAAAATGCTGCTTCACCTGGAAAGACTGATTAGGCTCTCAGATGATGAGCAGGGAGGCGGTGGAGAGGCAAGCGTTGCACCTTCTGTGGTTACATGGGAATGTGCAGTGGGAAGGAGGTGTGGTGTTAGTAGTCGATGAATGGACTAGGGTGTCCTAGAGGGAACAATCCCTGCGAAATGCTGCACCCCTTTTGAGCTCAGTGTTGGGATTAGAGGTACTTTGCTCTGATCCCTCCCTCACTCTGTGACTTCCTTTGTTGTCATCTTCTCAGAGTCGAAATATATGAGCTTCGGGGGCATTTTGTGGGCAACGAGAGAGTTAAATGAGGCTGAAGTTTTCACTGGAACTTTGTTGGTCTGCACAATTCATTGTGCTTCATCTCAAGTCGAGGAGCAAACATTATTATCCTTATGATTGTCGGGAATGATGGTTGACAATTGACAAGGTTTCATTGTGGATCTTATTCCGGATTTTATTGAATACATATTTCACTTTCAATTTCATTTGCCACAGTGGGATTCGAACTTTTGACCCAGAACTTTCAGCTGGAATTACTAGTCCAGTGACATTGCCCCAAACCACCAACTCCCCCCAACAATTGTTGTAAAAACCCATTGAATTCACTAATGCTCTGTCAGGAAGGAAATCTGCCATCCTTACCTGGTCTGGCTATATCTGAATCCACACCCACAGCAATGTGGTTGACTCTTCTGTTCCGTTTAATATGTTCTTAAGAAGAGCTTTATTGGATTCTAAACATCAACTCTGTTTCTCTCAACACAGGTGCTGAGTTTCTCGTTGGAGTTTATTTGGGGTTGACTGCTAATTGTCCTCTGAAAAGGCTGAACTAGTCCAAAGAAAGCTGTTTACCATCACCTTTGCATTTTTTAAAATGAATAACATGCAGCAATGAATACTTTGACATTTGAAACTATCTAGAACATTTTTTCAATTCTTGGATGATGGGGGAGCAATACAGACTTCTTGCAACTTAATCTCATATTTTACTGTTTTTGCAGGGTAGTTGCGGCATAGAACAAAGTGATTCAGCATTTTGTGTCTGTGAAGGAGTAATTCACCTGTGATGCAACCTCCACCTCTAGCCTTTCAATTTTTACTTTTCAGATAACCCAATTTTGTTCTGAAAGCCTCCCCCACACTCTTAGACAGTACATTCCAGACCCTAACCACTCGAGTGAACCTGCCTCCCCCCACACTCTCGGACAGTACATTCCAGACCCTAACCCCTCGAGTGAACCTGCCTCCCCCACACTCTCAGACAGTACATTCCAGACCCTAACTCGAGTGAACCTGTCAGCACCGTACCGTCAAGACATAGAACATAGGACAGTACAGCACAGTACAGGCCCTTCGGCCCACGATGTTGTGCCGAACTTCTACCCTAATCCTAAGATCTATCTAACCTCCACCGCTACCTTATACTATCATCCATATGCCTATCTAATAGCCGCTTAAATGCCCCTAATGAGGCTGACTCCACTACCCTCTCCGGCAATGCATTCCACGCCCCGACCACTCTCTGAGTAAAGAACCTACCTCTGACGCCTCCCCTATATCTACCTCCACTCACTTTAAAACTATGTCCCCTCATAATAGCTACCTCCACCATAGGAAAAAGTCTCTGGCTGTCTATTCTGTCTATACCTCTGATCATTTTGAACACCTCTATCAAGTCAAAACAGTCAAGGCAATACGGTTCAGACCCTAACCCCTTGCTTAACCAACCTAGCCTGATGTAGAGGTGTTGGTGTTGGGCTGGGGTGAATAAGGTCATAAATCGCACGACACCAGGGTATAGTCCAACAGGTTTATTTGAAAACACAAGCTTTCGGAGTCTCATTCCTCCTTCTGGTGTTAGTGAGAGAGGTGGCATCAGACACATTTTTTAAGGAAAAGATCAAAGGGTCACACCATTGATGAGGATGTACTAAACAGCCTTCTGGACTCAATATCGAGTTCAATAATTTTAGGGCCTAAACTCTCCCATGTCCCAGCCCCCTACTCCACACACCAGGCCTTGTTATCACACAGTCTGCCATTACACACTATCTATTGTTAGCCACTAACAGTCTCCATTAACAGCTATTCACCCTCCCAGCTGGATCGTTATCTACTCCTTTGTCTGTCCAAATGTTGTTCTGTCTCTTTGGGCTCTATCCCCACCTATCGTTTACTCTTTACCCACTCCCCCCAGCCTATCTTCTGCATATAAACTGACATTTTCCTAGCTACCATCAGTTCTGAGGAAGGGTCACTGGACCTGAAATGTTAACTCTAATTTCATAGTTGCTGCCAGATCTGCTGAGTTTTTCCAGCAACTCCTGTTTTGCTCCAGAGCAGTTAACCATCAGTCATCATCTTCATGGCAATACCTCCACCAAAATTCTAGCAGAGCTAGACAGGGTAAACCCAGAAAAAATGTTCCCAATGTCAGAGATTCTAAAACCAGGGGTCACAGCCTAAGGACAAGGAGTTGGCCATTTAGGACAGAGATGAGGAGAATTTCTTCACCCACAGAGTAGTGAGCCTGTGGAATTCTCTGCTGCAGAAAGTGATTGCAACCAAAACATGGAATGCTTTCAAGGAGTTAGATCTAGTTCTTAGGACTGAGGGGATCAAAGAATATGGGGAGGAAGCAGGAACAGGGAGCTAAACAGGATAATCAGCCATGATCTTATCGAATGGCAGAACAGGCTTGAAGGGCCAAATGGCCTACTCCTGTTTCCATTTTCTGTGTTTCAATTATGTTTAGCTGGGGTAAAAGAAATTACAGACATGGGATCAGTAATGAAGGGCATAATGGGAGACAGGAGACTTGAAAGGGATTTGAGAAAGAATTTGGAATCTGGAAGTCACTACCTGAAAGTGTATTAGAAACGGGAGCCCTCAACACATTAAGTAATGTACAGATGAGCATTGAAATGCTATAGCATGCAAGGTTATGAGCCAAGTGTTGGAAAATAGGATTAGATAGGTTCCTGCTAACTGACCGGATGGACTGAAAGGCCAATTTCCATGCTGCAAAACATTGACTGTTTAACATTCTCCTTCAAATCTACCTCTGCCACGGATTTCAGCAGCAGCCCTAATGTCTCCTGTGCCTTGCTGTCAGATGTTACCCTCATGCTTCTGGAAAGCACATTAGGTTGTTTAGTCCCATTAAAGATTAAACATTTCTTCATCTCGCTTACAGCTGGCAGTGGAGACAGCGGATCAGGATCTGCCTGGAAGGAGCAGGAATAAACCCAACGCCTGTGGACCTCCATGAACAGCAGCTGAGCCTGGAGCAGCACCAGACTGCACATCGCGATGTGGCACAGCCTGGTTAGAACAGGCACAGTGTAGTGGCATCACTGGGGTGGGGGGTGGTCATTGGTCAGTGAGGGGAGGGGTGGATTCAGTGGGGGGGAGGGGGAGCAGTGCAGTGCAGTCATTCGGGGAGCAGTGCAGACAGTGGAGGTTGGGGGAAGCGGTGCGGTCAGTGGGGGGTGGGGGAGCGGTGCGGTCAGTGGGGGTTGGGGGGAGCGGTGCGGTCAGTGGGGGGGGGGGGTGGTGCGGTCAGTGCGGGGGTCGCGATGCAGTCAGTAGAGGGCAGGGGTCGCGGTGCAGTCAGTGAGGGGAGGGGTCGCGGTGCAGTCAGTAGAGGGGAGGGGTCGCGGTGCAGTCAGTAGAGGGCAGAGGTCACTGTGCAGTCAGTAGAGGGGAGGGGTCACGGTGCAGTTAGGGCATGGCGGAGCAGAGTTTTTAAGAACCCTTTGTGGGATGTGGGTTGAATTCGTAATAGGTGGTAGGTGATGAATTTGTTAGGGGTCTTCAAGAAAACAGGACAATAATTGTTTATTTAATTCATACGTCTGTATAGAGAGGTCGCCTGACACCATGAAGATTGCAGCACACTCTCGGTGGTGTACAGGCACCTCTTAACTTCATCCACGTTACAATTCCCACACTTCAGTCTTGGGGTCTTCCCACAGTCCTCCATATGCATTGTCACCTCTTTAACCCAAAGCCTCTGGTGTAGTGTGGAAGCCTGATGTAGCCTTGATAGTCTGAATGTCTCACTTTTTATTCCGTCCGTGTATATCAGGAGTTCCAATCCTCATCCTGTGCCTTATCCTATTGCTTTGCTCGTTAAGGCATAAAGCTTTAGTCATTCGTAATGATTGAAAGCCAGTCAGTAATTCTTTCGCAGGCTGAGAGGCTGCGGGGGTCGTTGGTGAGACTGCCATATTGAGAATACATATTCCTGGGCCATGCAACAATTGGCTACAGGCATCAGCATTGATCAGGCCAGGGCAGCGAGGGTATTTAGTATTGATCAGGCAGGGTGTTTGGGGGTGGTTGGGGAGGGTTGTTGTTAGTGTTGACCAAGCTGGTCAGTATTGACCCTATTGACTTGCTACCTGCGCGTCTAGCTGCTTTGATGTCCCATGCGCGTGCACAGCGGTGTCAATGTGCCGTTTATGGTATTGACTTTCAGGTCTGGAAGTCACTGCCGTGCACAGCCCTTGGAGGCCCTCACAGCTATGAAGAAAATTAGAGAGGATGCTGTGTATCTATACCTGTGGACAAGTTGGCCTTCTTAGTCTGATTGTCTCTATCTCTCCTTACAGCCTTGTGTGACATAGTGAACGCTGATCCTCAGCTCCTGCCTGTCAGAGCATTGAATGAAGTATTTGTGGGGGAGTCACTGTCCTCTCGGTGAGTAATGTGATAAAAATCCCTGCGTAAGAATCATTTTGAACCAATACCACTCCGCCCAGGCCAGGCTCAGTGCCAGCTAAAACGTCTCCATCCCACCGTATGGAGTTGAGCCGCTGGCTGGGTCAGCATTTATTACCTGCCCCTAGTTGCCCTTCAGAAGGTGGTGGGGAGCTGCCATCTTCAACTGCTGCAGTGCATGTGTTGTAGGTTGACCCACAGTGGCCTTAGGGAGGGAATTCCAGGATTTTGATCCAGCAACTCTGAAGGAACAGCAATATATTTCCAAGTCAGGATGGTGAGTGACTTGGAGGGGAACTTGTAGGGGGTGGTATTTCCATGTAACTGTTGCCCTTGTCCATCTAGATGGAAGTGTCGTGGGTTTGGAAGGTGCTGTCTTAAGGACAGCAATCTGACCAGGCTGTTCCCTATGTCTGTTTGAAAACCACCCTCCCCAAACCACAACCACCCCCTCCCAAAAGGAAACAAACCCTCTCACAGCCTGATCCAGACTGAGCGCAGATTAGACAGCAACAATCTCCACCCACATAGCTACGTGAAGGGTGGTGAGTGTGGTGTCACATATCTGCACCAGGGAATGGTAGGATGCTCCATTAGGCTTCCACCAGGACCATCCAGCTCCTGGCCTCATTACAACCTTGGTTCAGACATTGACAGAAGTGGCAAGAGAGTGACAGCCCTTGGCATCAAGGCTTCATCTGACCCGGTGTGGCATCAAGGACCCTTCACCATGAGAACCACAGGGTAGGAGTCCTGCAGCGAGTAACTCACCACCTGACTCCCCAAAGCCTGCCCACCATCTAAAAGGAATAGTCAGGAGTGTGATTGAATACTCCCCACTTGCCTGGATGGGCGCAGCCACAACAACACTCAAGAAGCTTGATACCATCCAGGACAAAGCAGCCCGCTTGATTGGCACCACATGCATGCCCTTTGACATTTGTTCCCTTCAGCATCAGTGTGTCCCTGAGAGTAATGTGTGACTCTTTGCCAGCAAGTCTGAAGAAAATGCCAGGCTGCCAAGCTGGGTATAACAGGAAAGGCTGGAAAAACCTGCAAATGTTACTCGGGAGGCAATTCCTGGTGTTTTTGTCCCAGGGAGAGAACAGAGAATAATTTCCTGCCCCAGGTATGGGGGCCCTTTCCCGTCTCTCTCTCTCTCTCTCTGAATGTGGTGGTCTCTCCTCGAGTGAGGGAAATCCCACAGCCATCTTATCTTGTTATATTCAAGGTGCTGTCCGACGATGCAGTATCATTGGTCTGCCAGTTCTCTACCATCTGTCACCATATACCATCTCACCCCAATTGTGATCTATCTCTTCGCCTCACTCCAATCTCCTTTCCACTCGTTGTGAATGTGGTCTGGTGTGTTAGACTCTGGCTCACACCTGACCCAGGATATGTTCTGTTTTGTGCAGGCTCCGGTATCACTCCCACAAACAAAGTCTTAAATTCTCGCTCCATAGGGCCTCATACTATGAGATCTCTATTGATGATGGACCCTGGGAGAAGCACAAGAACTCTGGCCTCAACATGTGTACTGGAACTGGCTCCAAAGCTTGGTAAGGGAGCGTGCTGAGTGAACACTGAGGGATTTAAACATGTGGGAGGATTTTGTCTCATATCCCTATTGCCCTCATAGGATGTTATAGACACTGTTATAATACTCTTTACCCTAGGATGTTGAGGATGGTAATAGATTTAAAAAGGTGTGTATAATGTTACAAAGAATAGTAATAAGTTTAAGGACTAGGAGTGTTTTAGAAATCAACATAAAGTTGATTAAAAAGGTGAAAAGAGGATGCAGAGTAAAGTAGGGCTGTACAGGAGCCTGGAGTCGGAGGCGACGCTGTTGTTTTGATGCAAGGATTATGACGGGAAGGAAGTCATTGGTGGGAGTGGTCTACAAACCACTATGTGGGACAATGTTGGATGCTTGAAATAAGGGGATGGCAGTAATTGTGGATAATTTTAGTTTACAGATAAACTAGAGAGTTCAGATTGGCAATGGTAGCGTCAATAAGGAATTCCTAGAATGCTTTTGAGGGTTTCTTAGAGCAGTACATTCTGGAATCAACCAGAGAGCAGGTTATATCAATACTTGATTGTCTGCAGTGAGTATGAAGATTGTGTCTTTGTTTTTCCATATTTTTAATTGTGGACTAAAATGAGAATAGAACTGTTAAAAACCAGGGATTGCTGCATGTTTTGAAAGCAAGTGACTGCTCCTCGTTGTAAGCTCTGTTTACACAGCTGCTTGTTCTGAGTAGAGGTTAAATGTGGTTGCAGATGAATTGGAGCTGAAGGGTTATGTACAGATGGAGCTCCGGTTGGCAACAGATGTGTGGACTAGTGACCAGTTATCGATGACAAAGGTTTTCTGCTTGCTAACAATGATGCATTTCGATCTTGGGTACCTTTAGGCTGTGAACAAGATAGAGAGAAGTCAGGAGATCTCCACCAGCTCAGGGGCCCTGTTCTCTTCAATAAAACCTACTTTAAGTCTGAAGAAAACCAGTTTATCTTTCCTTCAACAGTTGCTGAAAGCTGTGACATTTAATTGATAAGTCAGAGATCTTTTTAAAGGAGAATGAGCTACTACTAACCAGCAAAACCCTCTGGAGAAGGAAGACCAAGAAGCAGTGTTCTGACTAGCACAAGAATCTCAGCAAACTCTGTGAACAGGGACCACTGAATTGCCTTCCCAGACTAGCCCTCTGCCCATAGCACACGTTCTTGAGTTCCTGTTTATGTCTGTCTGTGTGTGCATGTAGGTGGAGCTTATAAGGGGGTTACAGTTTTAATTAGTACCGTTATAAGCTGATGGTTGATAATTGTTTGTTTGCAGCTAAAGTTTAATTGCATGCAATAAGTAGTAAATTAGGAAATTTTGTAGTCTTTTTAAAATCATTTTTGTTACAGCTTTGGGAATAATGGAGCTTGATTTCTATCACATTCGCCCAATGAGGGGTGACATAAGACAGTATTAGTTAACCACAGACTAAGTAGCAGCAACCAGAGTATGATGGGATGTTCAGGCAATGTTTGAAAGGGAGAAGTGGTTCAAGGACTAGTATTTAAATCTTAAATAAGGGCATGTGTGGGCATGAAGGCTGAGCTAATGGAAGTAACCTGGGATAAATAGGCTAGGGATGGAGCAGCAGAGATACAGTGATAGACATTTAAGGGAATATTCCTGCTGCAAAGAGAAAATCCAATTCATGGATAAGTATTGAAGTTAAAGCATCAAAATTGAAAAAGCAGATCATTTTGCAAAGCTGAGTGGCAGGACAAATGATTGGACTGAATGTAAATAAAGAAGGAGAAAGACTAATCAGGTTAATCGGGAGAGGGTAGTAAGCTGCAAATGTAAAAACAGATTGGAAGAGTATCTGCAGGTGTTTAAAAAGGAAAAGGAACAAAGAAATATTAAAGATCAGAGCAGGAGGAGGCCATTTGGCCCTTCAAGCCTGCTCCGCCATTCTTCACAATCATGGCTGATTGTCCAACTCAATAGCCTCATCCTGCTTCCTCCCCATAACCTTTGATCCCATTTGACCCAAGTGCCAAATCTAGTCGCCTCTTGAATACATTCAATGTTTTGGCATCAACTGCTTCCTGTGGTAATGAATTCCACAGGCTCACCACTCTTTGGGTGAAGAAATGTAACCTCATCTCCATCCTAAATCGCCTATTCTGAATCCTCAGACTGTGACCCCTGGTTCTGGACACAACCACCATCAGGAACATCCTCCCTGCATCTACCCTGTCCAGTCCTGTTAGAAGTTTATAAGTCTCTATGAGAACCCCCTCATTTGTCTGAACTCTAGCAAAATCTCTCTTCATACATCAGTGCTGCCATCCCCGGAATCAGCCTGGTAAACCTTCGCTGCACTCCCTCGAAAGCAAGAGCATCCTTCCTCAGAAAAGAAGACCAAAACTGCACACAATATTCCAGGAGATAACAGTGTGGAGCTGGAGGAACATAGCAGGCCAGGCAGCTTCAGAGGAACAGGAAAGTTGACGTTTTGGGTCAGGACCCTTCTTCAGAAGACCCTTCTGAAAGTGTGTTATCTCTGACACCGGCATTGGCAGTTCTTACTATCTCACAATCATCCAGGTGTGGTCTTACCAAGGCCCTGTATGACTGCAACAACACATCCCTGCTCCTGTACTCGAAACCTCTTGCAACAAAGGCCAATGTACTATTTGTCTTCTTTACCCCCTGCTGCACCTGCATGTTTATCTTCAGCGAATGGTACACAAGGACCAGTAAGAGTAAGGAAAGTAACTGTTAATTCTCAGTGACAATGGGGATTAATGTACTGGCATGGATTGAGCATTGATAGCGGACAGAGAGTCAGAATAAAGGGTTTTTATCATATTGGAAGCAGTGATAAATGGGATACCTCTGGGATCATTGCTTGGACCCCACTAATTACAATATATGACAACAGTTTAAATTAGGGAATCTAATGTAATGTTTCCAAGTTAGTTGATGGCACAAAAATCGCTAGGACCAGGAGTGGTGAGATGTTGTAAAAAGCCTTGGAAGCGATTTTAGAGAAGTTTATTTGGATTAATATGTAACTGTGATGTAGCTATTACAGACACAGTTGAGAGAGGGACAAGACTGGCAACTTAACATTCCAGGATTTAGATGTATCGGATGAGATAGAGAAGGATGTAAAAGAGCAGGGAACAGTTGCGTTACTGATAAGGGCAAATATCACAGGAGGACACTTTAGAAGGCTCATCCAGCAAGGCTAAATGGGCACAACTCAGGAATAGGAAGGGTGTCATCACTTTGGGATTTTTCTACAGCCATTGGGGAAATAGAGGAATGGATATGTAGACAGGTTATGGAAAAAAGTGAAAACAACAGGGTTGTTGTGTTGGGTGATTTTAACTTCCCCTATGTTGACTGGGACTTGGGGACTGACTTAGTACCTGGGACATGGATGGTCGGGGAACTTTGTTAGGTGTGTCTAGGGTGTTTTTTTTTTAAACAAATAATGTGTAAATCATATAACCAGGCAAGGGGCCATTCTGAACCCAGCCAGCTGATCGAAGTTTCAGTGGGGGAGCATTTCAGGAACAATGACCATACTTCTGTAAGTTTTAAGTTACTTATGGATAGAGCAAGAGTAATCCTTGGGTGTAAGTATTAAATTGGGGAAAGGCTAACTACCTCAATATTAGGCAGGAACTGGGGAGTGTAAATTGGGCAGCAGCTGTTTGGGGGTAAGTCCACGTCTGGTGAGTGGGAATCTTTTAAAGGCCAGTTGATTAGACTTCAGACTGGCATGTTCCTGTGAAAATGAACGATACGGATGGCATGGTTCAGAAACCTTGGACGACAAGAGAAATTGTGAGCTTGGTCAAAAAGAAAAAGGATGCATACATAAGGTTTAGGAAACTTAAAACAGACAGAACTCTTAAAGAATGCAAAGACAGCAGGAAAGAATTTAGACAAGGAATTAGAAGGGCGTAAAAGGGGCCAGGATACGTCTTTGGCAAACAGGATTAAGGAAAATCACATAAATATAAAAGGAGCAAGTGGGCAACTAGGGATTGAGTAGAGTCATAGAGTAATACAACATGGAAACAGGCCCTTCAGCCCAAACTGGCCCAAGGTGCCCACTCAGCTAGTTCTGATTGTTCGTATTTGGTCCATATCCCTCTAAATCTTTCCCATCCATGTATCTATCCAAATAATTTTTATCGTACCTGCCTCAACCACTTTCTCTGGCAGCCCATTCCATATACGTACCACTCTCTGTGTGAAGAAGTTGCCCCTCAGGTCTCCTTAAATCTTTCCCCTCTCACCTTAAACCTATGCCCTCTAGTTTTCAATTCCCCATCCCTCAGAAAAAGACGATATGCATTCATCCTATCTGTGCCCCTCCTGATCTTATATACCTCAATATGGTCACCCCTCATTCCCTTACGTTCCAAGGAATAGTCCTGTCCTGGTCAACCTCTCCCTATAACTCGGGCCTACTAATCCTGGTAATGTCCTCGTAAATCTTCTTTGCACATTTTCCACTTTAACGATGTCTTTCCTGTAACAGGGTGACCAAAACTGTACACAATACTCAAATTGCAGCATCACCAATGACTTATACAACTGTAACATAACATCCCAACTCCTATACTCAATGCCTTGACCGATGAAGGCCAGCATGCTAAATGCCTTCCTCACCACCCTGTCTACCTGTGACGCTGCTTTCAACAAACTATGTATTTGTACTCCTCGCTCCCTCTGTTCCACAACACTCCCCAGGACCTTACCATTTACTGTATAAGTCCTACTTTGGTTTGACTTTCCAAAGTGCAACATCTCACACATGTCTGTATTGAATTGCATTTGCTAACCCTCAGCCCACTTCTCCATCTGATCAAGATCCCTCTGTAATTTTTGATAGCCTTCCTCACTATCAACGATACCTCCTAATTTTGTATCATCCACAAACTTACCAGTCATGCCTTGTACATTCATATCCAGATCATTTATGTAAATAACAAACAATTCAGGTCCCAGCACCGACCCCTGTGGCAC